CGGCTCTCCACTTTTTTGTTTACTTTCTTCCTTATTCACTCAACACCATACCCCAGCTCTCTCCACCTACTTTTCTGTCAATTGTTACTTTTAGCAGGATGCCTCCTCTCTTCCCTCAGTTTTGTTTTGTGCGGCTGATTCAAATTTTCAACTTGATTTTCAAAATTGAAACTCTTCCATTTGGTCCGTCATGTTCCCGTTTTGGCTAAACATTTTTTTGTTTGGAACGGCATCGTTTTTGGGGCCTGTTGAATGCTTCCTGACGTGGAATATTTCTCGCCTCACATTTGGGTCTTGTGAGGAGACCGTTCAGGAGCGGTCGGCCTGACGACCGCTCCTGCCCCGTATTCGGTGTCCACATACTAGGTCTGCCACTACATTGCACAGACAATTGATCTTTTTTTATGTTATTAAAATCAAAACATACACAATGCACCACTTGTGCAAATCAACATTGAAAAATGGACAAATGTTTGGAATTCATTATGTCTATTCTAGCGGGTATTAGCAATTGCTCCATTTGGGTTAATCAACATGAAATTTTGACTTCCAATCTTCGTTGCAAAGCAATGGATTGAAGAAAATATTGACTTTGGTACTATACATAATCTTCAACTTGAGAATAGATTCCTTCATCCAATGGTGAAATTAGCGAATTTTTCTTGTAGAAAAAAGTGTTGAATCCAAATATTTGTCCTTATTTGAACAATATAAATACGACTCTTCTTGCGTGGACATTAGGGTTTCCAATCCTACTAAATGCATGTTTCTTTTTGCCCATTGAAGAAACAAACTAAATACATTTATAACAGCTTCTTTGGATAAAGTTTGTAATTTGTTTAATTTATATCAGAGAATTCCATAAAGAAGGGGAATAAAAGAACAAAGATTATTAGGGTCTCAGTGGTCCAAATTATTAAGATACAGTTTCTTGAGAAATACTGAACCAAATTTCAGCTAAAAAAAATTCATAGTACACTACATATGAGAAATCAGTGACATATTGACCCATACATGAGAATGCAAAAGAATGGTGTGAGCCAATAAAATTTGTTTTAGACCAGTGACATCTTGACTCACATATGACAAAAGCAGAAGAATTTGGCAGAATTTTGACATATCCCCAAAATAACAAAGTAAACGAGGAAAGAATGAAAACATTTATTAAAAAAGGGATTTTTGATTTACACCAAAATTATCATGCGAATGGACAAACATGCATAATATTTCTTTTCCGCCGCCAAACACCTTTTTCCATTTAACTTTAATTTTTCAAAAAAATTATAAAAAAACATCTTTTAATGAGTCCTCGGTGGAACCAGTTAGAGAAAAAATGATAAGGAGATCTAGAAGTAAAAAAAGGCCACCAAATATTCTAATCAACATAATTACAGAAAGAAAACAAAAGAATTTGCATAGAATTTAAGTAAAGTTTCACAAGAGTGCTCAAAACAAACTGGAGAACATTTGTTGGATCTATCTTTATATGGACCCTTTATGTTGGCGGTAATATTGAATTGACTAAATCTGCTGGGGGCTGAGGGAACTTTTGGGAAGTACAATCCTTTTGCCTTCCCTTGGGAGACATAAATGCGAATGCATAATCTTTTACGAAAAGTGGATCCATGCTCCAAAAGAAATAGAAGAAGAAAAACTTTTCATTATTGGTTATAAGTACAAAAAGTTTTTTCTATATAATTGAAATACTTATGATTTAGTAAGCCAGCTAAAAAACACATATAGTATAGATAATATATTTTTATGAGCAATAAGTTTCGATTTAAAAAACTGAAGAAAATCTTCAAAAATTAAAACAGTGAATATGTTAACATGTTTTAGGGTTAAGTGTACAAAAGGCCCCCAAACTTTGCCATCCATTACACTTTACCACCCTTTAACTTCTTTTATAGGCACTTAATTCCTTTTTTGATTTATTTGGATAAAAGTATCTTTATCACACTATTTTACTTTTCTCCTTATTTATTAATGTTCTAAAGCCCCCTAAACTTTGCCACACATTACACTGTACCTGCTTTAACTTCTTTTATATGCTCTTAATCTCCTTTTTTATTTATTTGGAAACAAGTATCCTTGGCACATTATTTTACTGTTCTCCTTATTTATTCATTCCCTCTCTCTCTCTCTCTCTGCTACTTTAATTTTTTTTTTGTTTTTTACCCTTCTCTCATGCCACTATTTTTGTCCCTTTCCTATTAGTATTACTAACTATATGCTTATAATAATATTGAATTTTCTTCTATACAGAATTTCATTCTTGTTGCAATTTCTTTATTTATTTGATTATATCATTAGGTAATTCATGACAAACTGTACGGCATGTAAAAATGCTATATGCTTGTCATAATAAAAGGCATATGTAATCCATCAACTGGACTATTTAATACATTTATAAACAAGCTAGAACTTATAATTACTTAATATTTAAATGTGTATATTAAATAATTGAAAAACTAGTACTTTTATTTATTTCTTATTTACTATGTATAGTTGATCAAACAATTTTTATTATGATATTGTTTTTTGTTTGTTTTAATATTATAATTGATTAACCTATGCTCTAAACTATTAGATATATTTAAATAATTTAAATACTATACGAGATATACTATGGACACATCTAATATATACTTTGTTATAACAGAAAGTTTGTGATTAATATTAATTTGAAGTTAAACACAAAAAGATATAATAGAATACAAAAATAAGTACAAACAAATTAAAAGTAATACACAAAAAATATCAAATAGAAAAGATTTGCTAACCATAAAAGCAAAGAGAGAAAAATTTAAAAAATCAAAAGGAAAAAGTAGAAAAGGAAAGAAAGAAAGAAAAAGAGAAATGAAAAAATAAATAATATAGAAGGACACTTTTATCCTAACACTTCAAGCACAGGGTGAAATGTTTATAAAAGAAATTCAAAAAGTGAAGTGCAACTCGGGGTAAGCTTCATGGAGCTAAATACATTTAATCCTATAACTTGTGAGTAGATATGGTATGGTTAAACTAGATGGATCGTGTCCTCCTTTTTTCCAATTATTTTTTTATGGTCTCCTTTTTTCTATTTTGTTCTCCAGTTAAGCACATCTTTTGGAGCAAAGTATGGTTAGATTCTTTGTATACTTGTATATATTTAAAAAAAAAAAGAAAGAAATACTAGTAAATGAAAGATTGTTAGTGCATTAGAGATTGGGTGGGCAATTTAGCCATCAAAGTTAATTTATTTTTGACATATGGATAAAATTCTATTACACGTTGTAAGTAGGAAATGATTGAGATTGAGAAGAACTGGTCAACAAGTATAATGAATCAATTCTGAACTGCCTCTCCCTGATTGTCAATTTGCACGTGTCTCTGGTTCACCGTGTTTGACATTCTTATATACCGGATTGGGTATTAATAAGTTGTGCATAATTTACAAAACAAATCACAATTTAGACGGCCAAATTTTGTTAAACTTGAGCAATCATATGGCAAAAAACATATATTGTAGATGGAGGTTTTTTAACAGGTGCTTTTCCGAACACTTGTTAATATATTTAAATCACATCTGAATTAGTTTCAAAGATACAACTTATCTAATAAGAATATTAACCAGGTTGCTGTAAAATCTTTGATTCAACTTTCAAATCTTCCAATGTTTTCTTTCTCCTTTTGTTATGCTTAAAATCTCCCCTTGAACTGAAATAAAAATTATACCTAATTTGCTATGTAAATGGACAATTCATATTTATTGCACCCTATATATTTAGACACTTTTTAAAATTAGATTTACTTATATCAAAATAGTTATCTGAGTGCCCTGGAGGCTCCCATTGGCCAAACCTATTTTGGATTAGGTAAGCATTTCAAATTAGTACTTTTGTAAACATCTTCTGTTTATGTGAAAATAGGAACTATGTATGTGTATAAAGGTAAATAAAAATTGGTAAAAGAATGAAATAGAAAATCAGAAAACTGCAACCAAATGCTAAAAAGCAACAAATTACAAAACCTTCTCCCAATCAACTACCGTTAGAGTAGTTGACCATTAAGAGAAATTTAAAATTTTAATTAAGTGTTAGTTAAGAGATCAAATTTCTTTACTTACATTTTAAAAATTTCTAGATTTTTCTAAAAATATCGTTTGTCTACTGTATCTGGGAAAAAAAAAAAAAAGACACAAAACCTTCTCTCCATTATTGACAGAATCACATGTCGATGCAGACAATTTTAGACCCACCCATATACTCAGCCCACATGGAAGTGTGAAAGTAAGAACGGCCACCAGCCTCTCTTCCTTCCATTCTTTCAAGAGGATAACAGAAAAAAAAAAACTATTAAAATTTTAATGCTACTACTATCCACCTCTGTTTTCAAACTCGGACCGGACCGGCCGGTCGAACCGGTTGAACCGGGAACCGGCCAGGTAGCCGGTCCGAGTCACATTAGAAAACCGGAAATTTAAAACCCGGTCAAAGCCGGTCAAAAACCGGGTTTGACCGGGTTTGACCGGGAAAAAACCGGTTTTTCCGGTTCAACAGTATTTTTTTAAAAAAAAAATTCAAACTTTTTAATATTATGTTTTGACCCCCTAAATTGTTAAAACTTATTGATATACCTCAAATATTTGATACTTTATAAATATTGTCCTAAAATTTGATGTTATTTTTCAATTAAATTCATAATTTTAATTCTAAACTTGTTAATATTTATTAAATAATATAAATTGCTACTTGATTGTTCTAATTTCTTTGTATTTTCTTGTTAAATATATTTGAAACATCAAATATATATGAATATGCCTTTATTAATATCAATATATTATTAGATATTATATATATAACATTTTAATTTTAAAATAATTTTTATTTATGACGTCATCCGGTTCGACCCCTATCGACCCCCGGTCGAACCCATTGACCCCTGACCCCTGACCTCGGCCGAGTCGCTATCCGGTCCGGTTCTGAAAACATAGCTATCCACCAGTCTCCTCCGGCTTAACATTTTTGCCAATACATTTTAGTACACATCTTGAAATCATTAATAAGTACTAGTAACAACCGTCTTCTGGGCTGTGTTCTATTATGTCAACGGAGGATGAATTAAAACACGATTAAACTAGAACAACTCTTGTTGGATCTGTAATGATAGGCACTCAACGATTGCTTTTCTTTGCAAGTCAAGTCAATGCAGCTGATCAACATGGGACATTGCTTTGCAAAGTTGTAGATGAAATTGGGCACTTTTGTGGCTGATTGATTCCTTCTTTGAGGTATGCCGATGGAGAATTAATTTTGCTATCTGGGCTGTGATTTTTCTTTCTTGTATTGCTTCTTTCTTGAAGAAACATTCCATTTTTGGGATAATGAAAGAATCTTGAATTGATTGCTATTACAAAGTTGCGATCTTGATTTGTACAGTTCGGCTGGTTTTCAAAGATAGTTGACTAGTAAATAATAATTTAGAAACAGAAATGGACTCTGGTAAGATTTTGAGAATGTGCTTACTTTTGTTTCTGGAAAGATTGTGTTAGTTTATGTGTTTTGAGGGCTATAGTTGAAGCTTCATTTGTGGATGGGGTTTAGCAGTTCAGCAGCTATTGTTTGAAGGGAAGGAAGGACTATAGCATTGTTCATCTGTTTGTTGCCTCGCTACCTCATATTGATTTTTTAACTTCTAATACATTGAGGTATCTGAAGCTGTGAGGTCTTCAGAGTTACTGATTGTAAGAGTTTTCTGTTAATTTCATCCTTCTATAGAGGGTGATACTGGAAAATTAGCGGGGAGAGCCATAGGACCTACGGCTGGGTAGGAAGTTCAAATGTACTGGAGGGATGACTCTTTAGAAGCTTAGAAAAGTAGTAGTGCTTCTTAATTCAGTAATTGCGCAGAAAGAAGGAAATGGCAACAAAGTTTTTACATTCACTGACTGATGACAACCCGGATTTGCAAAAGCAAATAGGATGTATGACAGGGATCTTTCAACTCTTTGATCGCCAACATATCATTACTCCCAGGCGCATCACTGGGCACAGCACAAAAAGGATTCATTCTGGTAATCTTTCTTATTGATCAATTCAGTTGTGTGCTGCCTATTTGCTGTTATTATGTTTGGGAGCCATTGATTTTACCTTCCAATGCTTTCTGCAAGTTAATGTGAATTAATGTATATGCTAATAACCACCTGACTATGGTCAAGATAGTTGTCAATAAAGATAATTTCTTTTCTAATAAGGTGTTTTACCTTCCATTGTTTTCTGCTAGTTAGTGTGTATTAATGTGTATGCTAATAACCACCTGACTATGGCCAAGATATTTGTTGATTAAGATAATTTCTTTTCTACTAAGGTGTGCATCTGTCAAGTAGTTCTACTTATGAAACTTGTCTGGTTGGTCAAATTCTGTGAAAAAGATTGTGAGAAGTTGTTCTCATTTATTGGACAAATGATAGCTATGTCAACTCGTGCATATGCGTGTAGATGAGCTGCCCACTTGATGATTGTGAGTTCTCAAAGAACATCTGAAATCTAATTGCATTGAACAATTCTGCAGGTGTTACTTTTGAAAAAGAGTCTAGTACTATCTACAACAGATCTGCAACAGTGGTAAGATCCATTTGATTCAAATTCCTTTTCACAACTTCCAGATAAATGGACAGAAATGGACAGAACTTAAAAAAAAAAAAAAACGTTCCTATGTTTTCAAGTGCTGAAGTTCAAAGCCTAACTTATTGACTGTGCATACTGTTTCATGCTCATCATTTCTCGTGAAAATGCCAGAGGTGCTTGATGGACACAAAAACATGAAAACTTTGAATTCTTGCTTCTTGTGTGTAGGACATTTCTCAATTCATGCTCTTTAAATTCCATCTTTCTTTGTTACAAACCCATAAGATGACCCTGATCAGTTTAAGCACTTGATTTCCAACTCAGTGAAATTTGGTAGGACTTGTGGACTATCGTGGAGGGTATTTTTGTGATAATCTGATCATAGAAAATTTGTTTTTGCAGGAAAAACATTCAAGCAAGCATGTGTTGGAGAGGCAAATACTTTCCACCGAGTCTTCTAGAGCATCATTTTCTTCCTCCTCCCGTTCATCTTCGTTCTCATCTCTAGACTACAATAAGACTGGTCAAACAGAGCCTTTTGACCGAATAATTTTCCCTGAAACACCTTCGAGGGATCCAGCAATGAGCCAAGCTAATACATCCCCACAGTTTGGTCGCCAAATGCTTGACCTGCGGGAAGTGGTCAAGGACTCCATGTACAGGGAAGCTCAGGGATTGCCTGTTAAAACTGTAGGCAGAGATGGGGCAGCAGATTCTCTGGCCAAGCATAGAGACTCCCCAGGGCCTGTACAGCTTTCTAGAGCCAATGACGGCTCTTATGGCCAGGGCGTCAATGGGAAGCAGGACTTGCCTGTTGATCTTAAGGAATCTCTTAGAGTTCTTTCTAAACTCCGTGAAGCACCTTGGTATACAAATGAACTGAGAGAACTTTCAAGGTCATCGTCATATCAGTCAAAAGATGGGTCATCCTTTTCCTTAGTAAAAGAGGCTCCTCGGTTTTCTTATGATGGAAGGGAGATGCGTAATGTACCTTTCGAATCACAGGACAATTCAAAATCCTCCCTGAAGTTTAAAGAGCTGCCAAGACTTTCCTTAGACAGTAGAGAAAATTCAATGCGAAACTTCAACTCTGATTTGCCACCTGACCTATATCTGAAATTTCCTCTGAAGGAAAATGGGAGTTCCAATTCCAATGTTACTAGTCAGCAGCAAAAATCAGGAACTCAGTCACGGCCTCCAAGTGTTGTTGCGAAGCTAATGGGTTTGGAAGCATTACCAGATTCTATATCCTCTGCTGGGTCTTCAGAACTTAGTGACCTGTGTCGACCAATCCAGGTTTCTAATTCTGCAAAAAACTTGTGGAAGGAACCAAGATCACCACGCTGGAAAAATCCTGATTCAATAATGAAACCCATTTCAAGATTTCCTATTGAACCAGCACCATGGAAGCAGATGGATGGGAATTGGAGTTCTCAAAAGCCAGCTTGTAAGGGTATGAAAGCTCCAGCTAAATCCCCTTTCAGCTTTCCTTCAGTTTACAGTGAAATTGAGAAGAGGATAAAAGATCTTGAATATTCACAATCAGGGAAGGATCTCAGAGCTCTTAAACAGATACTTGAAGCAATGCAGACCAAAGGGCTGCTAGAAATTCAGAAAGAGGAGGCTCTAAACTTTTCTGCTTCAAAGGACCATGAACAAAGATTTATGAATTCTACAAGTGCAAGAAACAGAAAGAGGAGGCTCTAAACTTTTCTGCTTCAAAGGACCATGAACAAAGATTTACGAATTCTACAAGTGCAAGAACGGGAAGTCAGCGAAAGCTGCAAAATGATATTGTTTCTACTTCCACCAGAAGGGGGACCATGTCTTCAAGGAAATTTGAGTCCCCAATTGTCATCATGAAACCTGCGAAACTAGTTGAAAAATCTGGAATTCCTGCCTCTTCAGTCTTACCCATAGACGACTTATCCAGTCTCCCACAAATTCAAGGTGGTACCTTTTCTGACAGTAGAAGGAGTGCAATTAATAGTAGAGCAGCTAAAGACCAGATTCCTAAGTCTGGGAGCCGAGACAATGCTGGAAATTCCAAAGATATGAAATCCAACAATAGAGTACTGAAATCTCCACAGACATCAGTAAAGTCTCCACAGTTGCCAAAAGAAAGCAGTGCAGGCTCGCTAAAGAGCTCAGGGTCCATCAGCCCAAGAATGCAGCCGAAGAGACAGGAGTTGGAGAAGCGGTCGAGGCCTCCTATACCTCCATCGGATTTAAGCAGGACAAGAAGGCAACCCAATAATAAGCAAGCAACAGAATCAAGCTCCCCAGGTGGAAGACGCAGGCAAAAGTCTATGAATTTACAACTAAGTGGTGACCAGCTGAGTGAGAACACTAATGAATCAAGGAATTTGAGCTACCATGAAAATGAAATTTCAGCTCAATCAGATGGAAGTATCTTATCTGATTCAAGGTTGGATGTGGAAGTCACCAGTGCTGAAAGATCTCCTGAGATTAGTAGCGGCTATAGTCCATCGATGGAGGCTGTCCATTACCTGGTTTCTGACTTAATTAATAAGGTAGGTTTTTTTGGACTTTGTGTTTTGTCTGTCATGTTATGGATTCATAAGCAATTATTCATTTCATAGATGTATTTTTGTGGTTGATTCCAGAAATCTATGCCCATAGCCATAGAAGAAGAACCATTGGCAGAGCATCCTACAGTTGCTCCTGAGTATCCTAGCCCTGTGTCAGTTCTTGACAGTGCTATGGATATGGATGACTCACCATCACCCGTGAAGAGGATAACAAAGACCTTCCGAGGTAATACAGCCCTCTATGACAGTTGCAAAGTTACTGTTGAGACATGCTTTGTCTACTATGATGTACCATTGGAATTAGAGACTGGGTGACCAAAGACAAATGAATGTAGGTTTTTATCTGTGGGGGAAATAGAATCTGTTTATTCTTTATTTTTCTTCTGCTGCTCCTCTCTCTATCTCTCTGGAAAAAGGTTTTCTCAGAAAATTATCATAAAAGAAATGTACTCTATTTTTTTTTTTGGATCCAAGTAAGATATCTATTGTTTAGTAGTTGTGAAGACCTAGGTGAATTGTCTTGAAATTGGAGTAAAAAGGGTGATAATTGTATAATCAATTTTTGGCAGTTATGTGAAATAACCTGGAAGAATAGAACAGGAAGAAAATTATTCTAATTAATTTTGAGGAATTCGAGAGTTACGTGTTTTAAGTGGAATTTTTAATGGATGCCAATTGGTCCTTTTGGTAACTTTTTTGAATAAATTATTTTGGTGGTTACTGTAGGTAGGACTTGAAAGATTGTCAGAGAGTGTTGCTTTGACTAACCTTTCTATGAATCTTCTGCTAATATAAAAATCCAGAACAAGACACACACACACACACACACACACATATATATATATATATATTAATTTATGTAGCTCATACTTTTATCAATAATACATGGACTCAACTTAAACATGTTGAGGTGCTGATGTCTATCAAATTCTTTGACAAAACAATATGTGATTTTACCTAGATGACTTGGTGCTTTACACAAAAGACACCAAGACCCATGCATCAAATCTGGACATGTTTTCACTGAGCATCACACACCACTATATATGTATTGGATATTCTCAAAGTGAAAATAGGTGGAGTAACTTTCTGTTTGTTTTACAGGTGATGAATCTCATGAGACTAATGTAATTCCCAATACAGAGGAATGTAGTGTGGTGGACAGTTTAGCAACTAATGCTGTTGGACCTTGCCCTGCATCTGAAATTAGCAGGAAGAAACTGCAAAACGTTGAAAATCTGGTTCAGAAACTTAGAAGACTCAACTCTAGCCATGATGAAGCCCGCATCGATTATATTGCATCTCTTTGTGATAACACGAACCCAGACCACAGATACATTTCTGAGATTTTATTAGCCTCTGGTCTCCTCCTGAGGGACCTTGGCTCAAGTCTGACAAACTTCCAGTTTGATCCGTCAGGCCCCCCTATCAATCCTAAACTATTTTTGGTATTGGAACAAACGAAAGGAGGCAGCACTTACTTAAAGGAAGAATGTGCTCCAGAAAAGGCTGTCCAGTTGCGGTCAAAACAAAAAGTTCACAGAAAACTCATTTTTGATACCATTAATGAAATTCTTGCCAGAAAACTAGCAATCCTGGAACTGTCTTCGGATCCATGGTTAAGACCTCTGAAGCTGGCAAGAGAGTCTTTGAATGCACAAAAGCTTCTGAGAGAATTGTGTTCGGAAGTAGAACTGCTTCAAGGTAAAAGCTCAAAGAGCAGCTTAGAGGATGAAGATGATGGATTGAAAACCATCTTGTGGGAGGATGTGATGAATCGATCAGAAAATTGGACAGCTTTCAACAGTGAAGTTTCAAGCATGGTTCTCGATGTTGAGCGCATGATCTTTAAAGATTTAGTTGATGAAGTTGTGATTGGTGAGGCACCTGCTTTGAGAAACAAACCAGTCGGGCGTCGACAATTGTTTGCAAAGTAGAGTATTACATCCAACCTTTTTGCTTTTACTTTTTTTTTTTTAAAATTTTAATATCTCATTTCTTTGATCTACTGATCCTTTTCTCTGTCTTTCTTCTTAAGGTCAATTACAAGATCTTTTTTTTCAACACAATAATTCAGTTGTTTTGTATAGGAAGTAACTTGCAAGTGTGTTATGAAAATCTGTTCCAGAAACTCGATACTCTTTCTTGGAACGATACATAATCAGCCGATTCCCCAAGCTTTCCTTTCTAGAATTATTCTGTGCAAATCAACAGTCAAGTATGGATCTACTTCATTGTTTTTCTCTAGTTTTGCACCTCGTCGGGATGCAGCATGGATGAAGTAGCGAAGCTAGGATCATTTTTTGATGGAGGCACAGTTAATAACGAATTCTTTTCAAATTTATATATGCCGGTTTTAATTTGTATCATTCACAGAGCAAATAATAGCAATGCACATATTAAGTAAGAAACATTGTGCATGGATCATATGGTGAAAAATCAAAGTGAAAGTTTTTATTTATTTCATTTCAAAGAAAATTATTAATGCACTTCAAGTCTTTGAAGCATGGCTTCTACTTATAGTAGTAAAGTAATGAACCGTAAAAATCCATCTATTTCTTTCAACACTGAATATCAAATTGTTATAGTAAATTATCTTATGAATTTCTACAAATAAGTTGGGGCAACATAATAAGTTCTGAAAACCCCACACCTATCTGCGTGTGACAAAAGGTAGCTCCCCCAAATGATGTACAATACACTAAATTTCAACTTGTACAAATATCAAGACCTTCATAGCCAATTTGGCATCAGAATATAATGATTGCCTTTGTTTGTTAGTTATCTTTTTTTTTTTTTTTTTTCAGGTGTGTCCCACAAGGAGTGGACCCCGCAGACTATTCACCACCCTCAGCAACTTGCTGGCAGCAAGGTTCGAACCAGTGACCTGAGTTTGTTAGTTATCTGCTCACAAGCTATGTCAAACTAAAATATTCCCGAAGTTATTATGATCCAAGGATTTTCGCCTAATACAAGTAGTATTACTGGTGTTAACCATGTTGCCGAACACAGCCACAACAATGTTAACAGTATTTGCTTGAGTCGTGCGTAGCACTATCTTAAGAAACTATTTCATGAAATTGAAATGTCTCCCCAGGATTAAACAAGTCTTCTTCTTGTTGCGAACAAGAAAAATAAGCTTTCTTGTTGCAAACTAGAAGGACCAGAGAGAGAAGATGAGAACAGAATTGTCAGGAAGGTATCAACTGACAGAAATAAAAGAGAGAGAAAGAGAGAGAGAGAGAGAGTCAGAGCAGCTATCAAGAAGGTATCAACTGAAACTGCCGAGGTGAATTTTTGAGGAAGGAATGGATGCTATTTATAGATTTTAGAATGAGGTGCAACCCTTCTCACTTCCGATGTGGGACAAAGACTGCAATTCTTCTAACTTCTCGATGTGGGACAGAGAAAGCAATCCTTCTCATTTTTCGATGTGGGACAAAACTCTTGAAATATACTTAAATTTTACAACAATCTTCTTCCTATTTCAAAAGATTTTGGACAAAAGATAAGAAAATAATATGCTAGATTTATTTGGGTGAAATGTAATTAGTTTGGTGTCTTTTGGACTATGAACCGAACTTAGATTGATAAAGCATGACCTACAGAATTATTGGTGAAATATAAATTTCTATGAACCAATGACTCTTGATGTATGATAGAGATTTTATCAATCACATTGCAACCCATAATTTGCTGTTAACGCGGTTTTGAGCTTTTAGGCAATGCGCCTGCCTGATTATTCATGAGAAGTCTAAAGATTTGACCAATGAATTTTATAGGAGCGGCCCTACTCCACTCTCATATAGGTGAATTTATCAAGTGTGTATTGCTTTAAATACACCTCCATAGTGAGATATGAATTCATTAAGAGTTTTAATTCATCTTCACAATTATTCAAAGTACTTGTCTTCGGAGAGACATAAATTTGAAGTGCTTTACAGTCAATATTGACTTTTTATTACCCATATGAACCTACTTCATGGGATCACCAATCACATAGGCTGGGTTACTGTCTCTATTGACTACCTGTTGGTCGAAATCCCATTTCTTTTGAAATTTGAAGAATCAATTTTCTTCCTACGGGTTTAGTTAGAGGATTGGCCAAATTCAGCTTCGACTTCACAAAATCAATGGAAATAATTCCATCTCTAAGCAGCTGCTTTATGACATCATGTCTCAATCTCATGTGTCGGCTTTTACAATTATACGATTTATTTTTAGCAATAGCAATAGCCGCTTGACAATCACTATGTATATGCACAGGAGGCAACAGATCCTTATTTGAAAGAATATTGGCTAAGAAATTCCTTAACCAATCAGCCTCAGAACCAGTCAACTCCAGAGCTATAAACTCTGACTCCATAGTTGACCTAGCAATGACTGTCTGTCTAGCTGACTTCCATGCCACTGTGTGAGAACCCGTAATTTTCCCATTTTCTAGGTTTTATTATCTTTCATGGCTTGTTTTCTGCATTTTCGTGATTAGAAAAAAATTCTAGATAATTTTTATGAGTAAATATAGTTTTTAGATGATTTTTCTAGTATCGAATAGTTTTTGAGAAATTAAGAGCGTATACTGGACGTGGGACCCACTAGGGCGAAAAGTTCGGAAAAATTCGGCCAATTATGTTAAGTTTTGGATACTGGGTTTAAATTATCGGGTGCTAAGAGATAATTAGAGGTTGCTGGTTGGATTGTTGTGAGAGGAAACAAAGAGATAGAGATGCATTAATTATAGTGACAAGTGTCACCAAATGATTAGTGGTACTTTATGACTACTATTCATTGTTTTACCAATTGACCAAATAAATCCAAAAATTTACCAAAAATTCACCATTTTCTCTTCATCTTGGCCAGCCAACTTCAAGAAAGAAAGAAAGAAAACTCTCCAAGTTCTTGCTTCCATTTAGCTCAAATCCATCAAAACAACCACTTAAACTTGCTTTTGTTCCATAAAACCTCTTCACTTAGTGTTGGTGAGATTGTTTGGAAAGCTAAGGTGACTAGTTGCTCTCTCTCTCTTGTGTTGCTAAGGTGAGTTGTGAAGAACCCCTCTCCTCCCTCTAAAGAAGCTTAATTCATGATTGGTGGTAGTATAAGATGCAATTTTATGGATTATATCTTGATTTTTGGTTGAATTGGTGAAGTCTTATACTTATTGGTGATTTTTCTATTTTCATATGAATATGATTATGTGGTCATGTATGATGATTGGAAATGGTATTTAAGGAATCTAGAAGGTGGAAAAAGTGGTTAATTGCAAGCAATTTCTGTTTTGGAAGAAATTTGAAAAGTTAGGGTTTTATGATTGTACATTCTGCCCGGCACAGTAGCTCATAGTTAAAGGTCGAATTGGCCTTGGATTAAAACATGAAAATTGTAGGGAATGATATTTTAGAGATGCCTGCAAAATTTCAGGTCAATCGGAGTAGCGTAGCTTGTGAAAAGAAGGAATTACCCTTGCTGTCCTGTTTCTACCCGAACTTGAGAACTGCGACTGTAATTGGTTAATTTGGTTGGGAATGCTTCAGAATTGGTTGTTGAGGTCTTCTGATGAAATGTATCCCTGTATCTTAGCTTTCGGATGGCTTTGGAATTACTGGATTTGGATTTAGGTAGCCTGATTTAGGATGTTTGCACCAGAATGCGTTTTGTGAACCTGTTTTTCCGGTTCTGGTGTAGTATATTGCATTTTTGACCTGGTTACACTCGAAACTGGGCAGAGTGACCTTCTTCAACACTGTAGCCCTATATCTTAGCTTTGAAACGGTGGTCCTGTACCTTCATCCGATAATCGTAGTGCTTTTGGTGCCAAAACCGCAAAATGATGTCAAAAACTATTTTTTTTGGGTTAACATTTAACCCCATTTCCGGATTTTTCTGGTTTCCTCTAATGCTTATGTATGCTTATGGAACCCTATTTTGGTAGTATTTGGCATTGGTTTATGACCCGTTATCGAGTCTCATTGTACTTGTTTGCATGTTTTAGGGCGTGACGGTGGTTTACGACGCTCCTTTGACGGAGGTGTATGAAATATCATTTTCAAACTTGGTGAGTGTACTACTCACATGTGTGTTACTATATGGCTTTAATACTTGAACTTGATACGTTGAATGTTTACTGCACCATCGATATTGATTGAAGTGAGGGTGTACTTTATCAGTCTCACTTATATGCCTTATATCATTGTTTATCATGTTATTGGAATGTTACATGAAATGAAAGTACTTGACTTGGTGTCGTTTGGATGAGTATCCAACGACCATGATTGTTACCATTGAGTTCAACCCCATTGGTTTGATTGAATCGAGCCGGCGAGGGTTTGGTCGTGCCAATTAATGAGCCTTGGGGACTGTTATATGGAATCTTGTAGTATGAGAGATTCTCGATTCCGGTATACTCGAGTAATACCACATTGCAAGTGTTTGGAGTTCGGGCCCGGTAGGGGAATGTTAGGTGGACGGAATGGAAGTAAAGTGGAGCCTACGGTTGGTTATTCTTAAACATTGACGGAGGGTCAATGAAATCCGATCAAGTATACAAACGAGGAAAGGGGCTCTTAAGAGCCGTCCGTATCCTTTTATCAATTTATTGAAATATGATCATGACTTACTTTCTTGTAGAATGCAAATCTCATGTTTATATGAACTTGGTTGCTTGAGTGGTATTATCTCACTGGGCGTAAGCTCACCCTATTCCTTTTGTTTTCCTTACAGGAAATAAACACTTTTGGAATGATATTTGATAGTTGGTTGTCGAATTGAGCTAGTTGGACATATCTTTTGTATAGCTCCTTGATTGAAACCCTAAATGTATTTTTGGGTCCGTTTCTCTTTTGATTTGGCAAACCGTACATGTATCCACTTTGGAATAACTTTTGTATGCCACTTTGGATTGTATATGCTTAATTTCAACATGTAAATATTTGCTTGATGTTCGGTGGGATTTTGACTTGTCGGTTACTATTCATGGCCGACTCCGGTTTCATTTTTTTTTGGACATTGTGACTCGTTTACGCGCGTTAGTATGTTCCGGCACGTCTTAGATCGATGTGAATTGAATCGTTAGTCCTGGCGAGAGTTGGGCAGGCAGTTCGCTAATCCCTTTGGTTCGCCTTAGGGGAAGGTGGGGCTGTCACATACTGCACCACCACCAAGGGTGAACATATAACCACTAGTGGATTTTGTATCAT